CCGACACCCGCGGGGAGGGGAGGAGGGAGGCAGGAAGGCTGACGGTGAGGGGCGGGCGGCGGACCCCGCCTCCCCGGCGCAGCCGCCAAAAGGGAGGGGAGGGTGGGGAGGGGGAGGAATGGAGGGAGGGTGTCTCCGACTCCTGACAGCAGCCCAGCGGGAGGACGCGTGCGAGGTGACTAGACAGGGTGAAGTTGGGAAGGGGACCCGTGCGGCGGGAGCGCTGTGACTTCGCGGGATTTCCGCAGGGATGCAGGACTCTGGCGGCTCGCCGGCACCTGCATGGAAACTACATTTCCCGAAAGCCTCTGCGGCCGCACACGCGCACTACGCCGCGCCCACCCTGCTATTTGAGCCCGGATGGGCGGGCCTAAGGGCTGGGAGCGGGAACCCGGAGCGGAGGGGGGCGGGGCCGGAAAGGTGAAAGTAAAACTTCCGTAGCGGAAGTGTGTGCCTTGTTAGCCCGTAATGTTCTCTTCTGCCAAATAGAGCGCGGGAACAAAGCTGGTTGGTTTTGATGGCTCGCTTGACTCTCGGTGCTGCAGGCCCTGGTGTAGGGTCGTTCCCCAAGTCACTCAGCTGAAGACCCGTTGAAGGGTAAGTAGCTCTTTTCATTTCTGCTAACCTCTTTCACCCTTGACCCCCCCTCACCCCAAGCTCGTCCTACCTTGGGCTTCTCGCCGCCGTGGAGTTGCTGGATCTCAGGGCTCTGGGAGATTGCTTAGAAACAAGGCTCCTTCGTGCCCCTGGTAGAAGACCAAGACAGAGACGCGGACGCAACCCCGCGGCCTGGCCTCTGAACTTCGGTTTGTTAGAAAGTGGGCCTCCGCTTCCTAGTCTTGTGGAGCTCCCCTACCCAGGGTCTGTCCGATGTGACCCATTGCAGAAATGAGCCACTCTTAGTGTGCACAACAAAAACTAGGGAAATAACTCGGTATCTATACTGGATTTATTGGGTCTAGATCATTCTATTAATGGTATTTTTTCCCCTAGTTGAATAGTACTCTGGATACATATGATGTGTTTAAATACTACCACTAACTGTTGTAGAGTAATTAAATGGTTAGAATGCTTAGAATCTGAAGAAAATCAGTAGTTTTTAGGCTTTATATGGTTTACCAGAGGGGGTTAGATTTTGATAATTTGATGTCTTTGAATGGTTGTCTATTGGTTGCTGTTGAGGATAGTACTCAAGACCTCTCTCATGCTAGGCAAGCACCGTGCCTAGCACCCTATATCTCTATGTATTAATTCAACATGGATTTATTAAACCCTGATCCTTAACACTAGAGAAACAAGCAAGTGAATAAAACTAAGTTTAAATTTTAGTGGAAGGTGAAAGGAATCCTTCACATCCAACGCAGGGGACCACGCGGAGGCAATCAGGCTCAGAAAAAAAAAAATAAGGTTTATTAGAAAGGCCCATGTCTCTCCGGGAGAGCGAGCACATGGCAACCATCCCTATCCAAGTAGTTGGAGGTTCAGAACGGTAGATGCGTGGGCAGGTGGGTCTGGGCGCAACTCCAGGGCTGGGAGGAGCTCAGGTATTGGTGGAGTTGAGGACCAAAGGTGTGGATAATACTAAAGAAAGAAATGTGTAAAAAATAAAAAAGTGTTATAAAGGTAAGAGGGTGAAAATCCTATTGAAAATAATAAGAGAAAGAGGAACGACTAGGTCCCGGGAAGAGAAGGTTGAAGTTATAATTTGACAATGCTGGAGAGTTGAATGCTATTAAAATGTACTGTACACTATGGGTCTGTCTGCTACACTCTTAGTGTGTATGTATGTGTGTGCTAATGTTTTTGTAATGCTTGGGATTGAATCTAGAGCTTAGTGCATGATAGGCCAGCTTTCCACAATAGAGCTTCCTCAGCCTCCTCTTTCCTACTATTAAGATAATCAGCTTCCTTTTCCTCCTTTTGTCACCTGTGGGAGGTGAGATTTAGTGAAGTTTCCCTTTCAATATAGTAACTCTTCACTTAAGGTTCTTGACTTTGATTGCAGAATAAGAATTTCTGGGCAAATCACAATGTTAAGAAAACTTGGTAGAGCTTTATTGAGTAAGTAAACAAGCAGACAGACAGGCACACTTCAGCAGAGGGCACTTCAGCAAGGGCACACTTCAGCAGATTGTGGGTACTCTAATAGGGAGATAGAGATACAGAGAGAAAAACAGGCAGAGAGATATTCAGACCCAATGAGAGACACTCACAAACACCCACAAGAGACACCCAGAGAGACACACAGTTCTTGGGCTGTTCAGTTATTTATAGGGTAAAGGCATTATAGCTTTAAAGTTTGCTTTGTCTTTGCTTTAACAAGTTTCCTGGTAAGATTGCATCCTGTCATGAGACACCTTGCTATCAGCATTTTGGGGCTGGTGGCTTAAGTTTGGGGAAGCATATTTCTCAGGAAGACATACGTAAATGCATCTCTCAAAAATGAATGCATCCTGTTGTCTCTCTTTGAAGCAAAGATAGCATTGCTAAATACCATATTTCTGAGTTGCCTTTACCAGGCCTCAGTTTCCTTAAGTTATCCTGCTTCATTACTCCTAAAATGACTTTGTTCCTTTAATCGTTTTTTAAAATTTTAATTTTATTGTCAAGGTGATGTGCATAGGGGTTACAGTTACATAACTAAGGTAGTGAGTACATTTCTTGTCGAACTTGTTATCCCCTCCCTCATTTTCCTTAATCTTAAGGGAAGTACTTGGAGGAATATCTACAGTAAGCTGACCATACCTCCTTTTCCTCTAGTCTATCCAGTTTCATTTCCCCTAAAATGACTTTGTTTCCTTAATCTTAGGGCAATATATGAAGGAATATCACCTGTATTTGCTGTAAGCTGACTATTCTTCCTTTTTTCCCAGTCTGTCAGGCTTCACTTTCATCCTTGATTTTGCTAAAACAATTGATATGCTTATATTTAACATTAGGAAATGAGTCGTGAGGGTATTAGAAGTAAAGAAAGAGCAGTAAACAACCTCCACAGACCAGATCAACTTTAATGGAAAGTTATAGAGGCATATGTGGGGGGGGTAGGGGTGGGGTGAGGGGGGATTTCAGTAAGGGTAATGGGTGAGGGCAGGGTCCCTGATCACTGCAGGTTCAAAGAGTTTCACAAGTCTCTGGTTCTGGTCTTGCCCAGAGAACCTATCATTTGAGCAAGTCTCCTGCCCTGCCTCATCTCACAATCCCCAGTACCAGAGAGGGTGGGAGAGTGGGCTTTCATATTTAGATTAAGATTTGGAGCTGGAATATTTTGGGAAGATTCCTCTAGTGGGGAAGGGTAGTCAGTGGGCCACACTGTGGGAGCAATATTGAATTATGAGAACAAACATTCCCATCACTCACTATCCCAATTCAAAGAATATAGATCATTGCCTATTATTTACAGAGCCTCTTTCATGTTATTTTTGTATTTCAAGAAAGATGTGGACTGAGACGGTAGGGAGAGTAGAGAGAATTTGCATGAGAGAATGAATGTCACACTTTTTTGGAAACTATAGAATATTAAAACTCAGTCTCTGAAGGTGACTCAGTGGTAGAGCGCTTGCCTTGCATGCTTGAGGCCCTGGGTTTGATTCCTCAGCACCACATAAGCAGAAAAAGCTGGAAGTGACACTGTGGGCTCAAATGGTAGAGTGCTAGCCTTGAGCTGAAGAGCTGAGGGACAGAGCCTAGGCCCAGAATTCAGACCCCACGACTGACCAAAAAAAAAAAAAAAAAAGAATATTAAAACTCACATTTCACATAATCTGATTTTGTTCCCTATAGGGGTGCCTGTTAACTGATAAGTGTTCCTCTTTGGATTGTTCCTTGTGTTTAGATAGCCAGTCACCCCTCTATCTGTGTCGCTGTGGGTCACCGTCTAACCATGGTGTTTTAACATGTGGAACGTGTCCTGGGGGCCGCGCTAACTCTTAACCCCCATCTGCATGAGCAGGTGGTCTCCCTGTCCTCCCTGTCGGCCACCCTGTCCCAGCGACCCCGGGGAGGCCTGGGGTGTGCTGCTGTTGCTCCACAGAGGCCTGGACAGCCCCTCTCGTGGCTGGGGCTGGTGGCACCAGCAGCTGGGAGAAGGTCAGATTGCCAAAACTCACGCCGCCAGCCCCATCCGGAGGTGTCTGTCCTGCCTCTGCCTCCCCTGCGTGGGCAGCACAGAGCTCCGGAGGGACAGACGGGCCGAGCCTTACCTGTCTCCCCTGGGCCTCGTGGCCCGGGCCTCCATGCCTGGCCTGTCAGTTATTGCCTCCGCTGTGCCGTCCTCAAGGCTGCGGGCCTGCTGCCTCTCCCTGGCTTCCAGTGCCACCAAGCCCAGGCAGCCCTCCCTGGCCCACCAGGGCCAACGTGGGACCAAGTGCACACACAGTCGGGAGCCATCTCCTGTGCCTCCCCTCCCCTCCCACTCCCCATGTGGTGTCTGCCAGGTCCAGGCCTTGACCGGCAGATACACCTGTTCCTGCTTCTCTTCTGACTCGGAAATAAATGACCTGAAGGAGCACAAAATATCCACAGTCTTTTTTATTTTTATTTTGTTGTGAGTGTATGTGTCTGTACTGACCTACTTAAAAAAATCATTATTTCTCAATACAGTATAATAACTATGTTACATTTACATCGTATTAGGCATAAGTAGAGTTGATTTAAATGCATGGGAGAATGTATATAGATTATATGCAAGTATTATACCATTTAATGGGACTGGAGCGGATGCATTGGAATCTAGGTCCTGCAATCAATCCCCCATGAGTACAGAGGGAGATTGTACACATTTTATCTTATATTCAAATTTAAAACGCAACTATAGTTGACACAGTTTTTCCTTTGTTTTACTTAGCACATGTTTAAGAGAACTTGTCTTGTTAATACATATAGGGTTTTTTTTTTTTTTTCCCAATGCTGGGATTGAACCTCTGGCCTTGTCGGTGCTCTACTGGTTAGCTACTTCCCTTAATACATGTTCTATTTTATTGATTTATTGACTACTTAGTATGTCATCTTAGGCTGTGCTATGTTTGACTATTAATTTCCCTTACTATTGGCTTCTCTTATTACAAACTGTGGAATGAACAATTTGTGATTTTTTGTGCATATATGCTGTATTTGCATAGGATAGCTACAATTGTTGATTCCAAGGTTATATAGATTTAAAATTTTGATACTTTCTACAAAATGATAGGGCCAGTTTCTGCTCTCTTGCAATACTGTTGATCTGTTGAAATTTTACAGATAACGTTATGTCAAAGTTGTGGCCAATTTGTTGCCTCACTTACTGAATTGTTTTCTTTCTCAAGGACTTAACATAACCTTTTGTCATATGTCAAATTTTTGTATTTCATCTACTTCTGTGCATAGTGTTTTAGAAATTATTGTATATACTTAATGAATACTAAACAATATTTTGAAATAACCTATACAACAGAAATGATTACTGCAGCCAAATAAGTTAATACCTACCACCTTCTATAAATATCTATCTATCTATCTATATATTTTTTTTTTTTTTTTGGTAAGAGGATGGCTATGTAGCCCTGCCTCAGACTTGTCATTGAAGAGAGTGTGGAATTGTCTTAGTGGCCATGTTTAAAATT